TTATTGAATTTGGAAGGTCCAGAAACAAAAGCATAAAGATCCCATAGACTCGCTGGCTTTGTACACTTTAATAGTGCATTAAATACTGCAAGTCTCTGCAAGTTTTTTTTTTGGGGGGTAAAAAACAATACCCATGTTAGACTGCTGTTCACAACTTCACACGCAAGCAACTAAAAGAATTCATCATAATTTTAAAAACATTTCAGCTTTGATACACGACACCAAGGTTTTGTAAGCCATTTCGAGTTGATAGGCCACAAGAAACCAATTATATAAACTGCTCATTCTTTTAAGTTATCATACCGTCACATTCTCCCCTCTAAGCTAAATTATGTCAGAACCCCTAACATAACAAACTACTCTTTTCATCATTGTTTTTTGTAGTTGTATTTTATGCAGTGGAGACCTTGTCCACAATTTTGTAATTTTATAAGGCTGTAATTTTTAAAAGAAAAGGCTTCTTTTACTTTGCACATATGCAAACATAAACTGAAGTATTATATAAAATAACATATATAAGCACAATGTATAAAGTATAATATACATAATACTTTTTCTGTATATGTGGTCCAGACGTGCTGCCCCTTTGTGCAGCTGCCAGCAGCTGTTACGAATTTGGTTTCACCTGTTGCTAGTTGCTGCAATATGCTGCTGCAAAAGGTAGCTGCTGAACTGCTTTTTGCAACTTTAGCTGCATTTATTCTTGCTGAAATATTGGAGAGACTGTCCAAAATTTCGACCAGACTTGTGGCATTTTTTGTGAAAGTTAAAGCTAAAGCCTCGATTTTCACGACACGGTAAAAGCATAGTAATGTCTCCTTATGTTGACCGCCTCATTTTTGGAGAAAGATGATGATGATGACTGATGTTAATTAGACAATCAATGTAATGAAGAGCATTCAAGGGATTTCATAAAGTGCATTTTGTCTTTAAAAAGAAAAGGACGATCATCTTAATTTGATAACATTAGTTTTTGAAAGTGGCATTCAGTTTTTTCACACCATAAACCATTTGATAGTCTTTAACCAAAATTTTAAGGATATAAAAACTTTAACAGCGATATACTGGACCAGAATGCAAAAGAGTCAATAAGTATTCACAGGAAAATTTACCTGCCTTGTTTTAGGGCGAAATCCAAAGACGATGATCCTCATGTCTTTACCTGCAAAATACAAATGCATAGAACTATTAGTTCTCTCACAGTCTCTGCAGAAGACCTACCATTTGACTAGCAAACTAGATTTAATAAAATATATGAGTATCTAATCAACAGATCCCATACACAACCACTCATAGTTGGAGCCACAATTCCAGTAGTTACTATGGAATTGAAAAGAAAAGATTGCTTATACAAAATATAGACAGCTACACAGCTAAGTCTTATTCAAGGAACCTTAAATTTCCCAAACATCAATTAACAAAGGATCATAATGAACTAACATAATCCCTTCAGTCGCTATGACCATATGTGGAAAGGGATGCGGTCTAAACTTCAAACTTCTAGCAGAAGTAAAGGGGAAAGTGCACGGCTGTAGTGAGACGTCCAAATTGTTACGAACAAGAATCCACAAAAACATTTGGCTCTTGTGTAATTACTTAAATCTACTGGAAACTGTTAACTTGTTCAAGTACAATTCGTCATTGCAAATTTCCACAGTGGTCATGACAGCAAACAAAGAAATGCGTATGATCATGAACGGTCTCAGGTTGATCATAACGGAAAAGAACACATGTAGGCTGCTTCTTTAAGTGGGCATTCAAAATTGTATAAGTTCTATTCTCACCACACACCGCAAGAGAAAGAGAGAGAGAGAGAGAGAGAGAGAGAGAGAGAGAGAGTCTGTCTGTCTGTCTGCAGAAATGCAAACTGGCACTATTCGAGAAAATCAAAGTAGACCACAAGGAAAACTCTCGCCTGCACAAAACCATTGACCTTTAATACCACTCAGTCAGATAACCATGTTACTGCCATGCCACCCATACTTAGCAGTGCTGAGGATTTCTGTGTGGTTCACCAAAACTATCTAACAATCTACAAATTACCATTAAAACGGAAATTTGACTGAATTAGTTTAGATCTAGGATAGAATCCAGACCTCTCATCAAACAGATTCTTCAAATGATACACAAAATCTCACATGACAACCAATTAAACAAGAAAAAGATTCAAAGCAATAAAAAATTAACATGAGTACTTCATATGAAATCATACCAATGACCTGAAGAAGTCGCCTTGATGGAGTCTTGTCAGATTGACGAGGGGTTGATTGATTCTTTACAACCTACAAACTCAAGGAAATACAATGAACTGGATATTGCCATACACACAAAGAAAAGCACAATAAAAGGTGAAAAACAACACTGAATAGTAAAATAATTAAAAGAGTCCGATCACTAACAGACATATATATATTGGTCATTTTCTTTTTGAGTCCATTCAATGATTTAGTTGAGCAAACAAAACCAAGGAAACTTAAGTAGTCTTAAAGCTCTGCCATCTCTCAAAACATGGCAAGGAATGAATTTATTCTCAAAAGAACAAGAAGAAAGAAACAAAGAAAATGCGACGACAAGTGAAAAGATAAATGGTTCAAAAGAAAAAGATCATATGTCAAAAAAATCACTGATGTATTGTTGGTATTATCACTAGCGAAGTGGAACAACCAATAGGAAAGCACGAATGGCAAACATGATGGAGGTGGAGAGGTCTTAGATGAGAGAGCTTTTGTAGTTAAAAATGTAATAAAATATTTCATATGAATACAGTTTCTTTTAAATAATAAATATTAAGCATTTCACTAACAGTTAAAAACATGTGACCAGGCATCTCCTGTAAAAGTTACAAGTACAAATATATTTGAGACTGGAGCACCAAAACCAAAGTTATCACAAAAGATAAATACGCAAATCTCGATTAGAACTTACAAATTTGTTGAACTTCTCAATTGTTGCCAAAGGTATCGTGCCAAGTGCAATAACATTCCTAGTTCCCTCACTCTTGAAAAACAAAAAGTAAGCATATCAAATAACCTGGGGTAGAAAAAAATGGGAACACACAAGTACACCACCAACAAAGACCATCATTATATCAAAGATTATTAAATACACGAATTAAATGTTTTACATTCCTCCAAACCATAGACAACTTAGGGGCAAAAATTTCATTAACCGTAAAATACACAGAAATAAGACCTAACAAATGCAATATCTAGTAGAAGACCAATTTTTTTTTTTAATGAGCAAGCCATAGGGCCAGAATTGACATCATGGAGATCTATCCATTGATAGGTAAGAGGGCTCCTCTCTTAGCCTTTCACACTAAGCAAGTATAACATAGCATAATATAAGAAAGGGATCTCCAATTTCTTCTCACAAATCTTGAAGCGTTTTCTTCTCCCATTTGTTTTTTCTAATTTTCCCCATCACCTTCTTCCTCTTCATCATATGCATCAATTGCACATTGAAACAATGTCGAGCAGAATATATGAAACAAAATCAGGCGAGGCCAGATTAATATGGCTGACTGTTGACACTATTCATACAGATAATCAGGTCAGCCCAATATGTAAATTTATGGCTTTACGTAATTATACCAGCATTGTTAGGACTCAAGATCCCACATTGGAAAAATAGCAAATCCTAGAGTGGTCTAAGAGCTCTTGGGCACCCTTCCCTTACAAGCCGGTTTTTATGGGCAAGTTCCACCCATGGGCTCTTAACAATTGGTATGAGAGTCTAGTTTCACCATGCAACTGTACCCCATTTTATGGAAGGGGCGACCTATAGGCTTGATTAAAATGTTCGGTGTTATGTATGCACATGATATTGAGTCAATGAATATTGACGAAGACATTGGGTACAGAAGCGTGGTGGAATGTTAACATTCAAGATCCCACATTGGAAAAATAGTATATCCTAAGTGGTTAAGAGCTCGTGGGGGCCCTTCGGGACATATCTAATTTTCAACCAGGAGAGAGAGAGAGAGAGAGAGCTTTTTGTTTCAAACTCACTCTTCTAACATACTCACTCTAGATTGCCACATATATAACATCAATTTCAGTGTTAGCAAGATTATTCACTCTTCTAACATAAATTTTCCTTGGGACATGCATAAAACGAACAGAACTAAACTTTAGAATGAGCACATTGATGAGGGTATATTGTCGAATATCATATGAATTACTTACCAAGAAAAGAAGACGAAAATTGGTCACTATCAAGGTACCTGCCTCATCAGTATTTACAAGAACAACGCCATACCCCTGAAAGTAAACTTTGAATATTAAGGTTTCTTATGCATACCATTAGTTAATGAACAAAACACCACATTACATCCATCTTCGTCAGTAACTATTGTTATTTACAAATTTTACAAAGAAAAAATCCTCCACAGCTATGCAGAATTGATCAAGAATTCAAAACTACAACAACAAAAGAATTACATTGCACTTCAACAATCCCTATTTCGCATTATCATTCAAGAATTCCAAGTACCTCAACTTCGACCTGTTCAGCTTCAAGCAAGCACTCCAATTGCACACGCGAAACCGAACGAGAAACGGACCGCGAAACCGGCTGGAAAACAAAAACAAAAAACAAAAAATGAAGAAATTGATCAACTAAATTTCATTAGAAACGGAAAATTCATAGGAAAAGAGCCCTAGAAGAGGGGAAAGAAGAGGACCTCAATGGTCCAGTCGAGGGCGTCCCAGCTACCAGTGGCCTCCATCTTCTCGGACTCGGAAGAGTCCCTGAGAGGCGTCGATCGACCTGAGCTTGAGCGGGGCTTTGGCGCAGCCATGCGGCGAAACGACACCGTTTCTCCAACTTGACAAGATAATAGAAGAGAGAGAGAGAGAGAGAGAGAGAGAGAGAGAGAGAGAAAATGGAGATGGAGACGTGAGGTTTTGTCGTCGCTGTTTGTTGCGGGTGGAAATCGGCTATGGGCTTTACCTGCCTTTCAAAGGAATAGCGGTTCGCACGCCATCTATTATTATAATATGATGCTCGTATGTGCCAGTTGGGTGGTTTGTTTTTTTTTTTTTTTTTTTTTTTTTTTTTTTTTTTTATAATAATAAAATTAATAATAATAGATATATAATAGTTTCATAAAAATTAAAATGAAAAACAAAATCAGATAATATATCCTACTTATATAAAACACAATTACCCATTATTTTTTTAGAAAATTAGTTAAATACCCATTTCTAGACATAAAACTATAAAAAAACCCTATACTATTTAATGTATATAAACACACCCAAAATAAACCCAAAAATCAACAGTTGTATATTTTTTAATTTAATTATTAAGATGAAATACTTTATTACCCTTTTAACATGAAATTGGATTTCCTAATAAACACCAGATCAGATTCACGACCTGCAATCTCTCATCTTCATCTTCAACCCCAATTTTCAGTTTTTGTTCTTCCACCTCAGTTTTGACGATGAAATCCTAAGCTCTGTTCTCAAGTAACTATCTCTCTTTAGCTTTTGTTCTTCCACCTCAGTTTTGACGATGAAATCCTAAGCTCTGTTATCAAGTAACTCTCTCTCTCTCTCTCTCTCTCTCTCTAAAAGAATAAGAATGATGAAGTCAAGGATTCTGATTGTGTAAGGTAACTATTTCTTCTAATTCTAATTAATTCGTCTTTTATATGTTGGGATCTGTGAAAAATTTGGAGGATTTGCAACATGAGCAAATGGGACAATGACTTGGCGGATTTAGAGGATGAAATGGCTCATGGTGCATTGGTGACTTGGCTCAATATAAAATCCTATTCGATCTGTGATCTTCGATTTTGAGGTATTTGATTTTTTTTATAATTTGAATTCATATTCGATTTTATTGTAGTCTAATTTGGGTGATTTCATATTCGATTAATTAAGTTGCTGGTTAAGTTTTCATAATTTTTGCAGTTTTGGAGTTTAAATTTGAAATGTAGATCCAATTCTTCTTGATTTTATATGTTTACTTTTGTTGTTGTCAATTTGGAGATAAGCTATTGGATTTTCTGATTTCATTCTATTTGTATTTAGATATTCGTTTGAGTTTTAAATTGTGATTTTAATTTCTTTTTGTTTATAATTTGGATTGATTTCAGATTCGGTTTGGTTGTGTTTTGGTTTGAGCTGTGGTTACAAATCTATGATATTTGATTCGGTTATCATATTAATTGAGGTATGTTTTTTCAATTGAATCTGAGTATATTCGTGTTTTTTCTGTTTATGCAATATTGGTTTTTGAGTCGACTATAATTTGCTGTTAGGTAGCAATGTTATTACCTTATATTGGAACTTTACAGACATGCATTAGAAAGTGTTATTACCTTATACTAGAACTTTACAATAGTAGGCATGCATTAGAAATAAGATTTTATATGAAACTAGCAGTGTTATTACCCTATATTGGAACTTTACAATGGGTAAACATGCATTAGAAATAGGATTTCAGAGGAATCTAGCAATGTTATTACCATATACTGAAACTTTACAAGGGGTAGACATGCATTAGAAATAGAATTTCAGAGGAATCTAGCAGTGTTATTACCCTATACTGGAACTTTACAAGGGGGTAAACATGCATTAGAAATAGTATTTCAGAGGAATCTAGCAGTGTTATTACCCTATACTGGAACTTTACAAGGGGTAGACATGCATCAGAAATAGGATTTCAGAAGAATCTAGCAGTGTTATTACCCTATACTTGAACTTTACAATGGGTAGACATGCATTAGAAATAGGATTTCAGAGGAATTTAGCAGTGTTATTACCCTATACAGGAACTTTACAATAGGTAAACATGCATTAGAAACAGAATTTCAGAGGAATCTAGCAGTGTTATTACCCTATACTGAAACTTTACAAGGGATAGACATGCATTAGAAATAGAATTTTAGAGGAATCTAGCAGTGTTATTACCCTATACTGGAACTTTACAAAGGGTAAACATGTATTAGAAATAGTATTTCAGAGGAATCTAGCAGTGTTATTACCTTATACTGGAACTTTACAAGGGGTAGACATGCATTAGAAATTAGATTTCAAAAGAATTTAGTAGTGTTATTACCCTATACTAGAACTTTACAATGGTAGACATGTATTAGAAATAGGATTTCAGAAGAATCGAGCATTTTATGTTTAGCTCTTAAGCTTGTACATCATGTTGGTATTGTTTATTTTAAAGTCTAAATTTGGTTGGATAAATGTTACTGTTAGTTAGTAATGGGGTTGTGTATCAAAATTATGCAAGAGTACTATTAGAATGTTTATTATCTTCTACTTGTATATATGAAAATAGTGGCAGTGATCTTTGCAGTAACATTTAGTGTATCTTTGTGGTTGTTTTCCAGAACAATATCGCAGTTTTCTGTCCAGGCTTAACAGATGGCTCACTGGGAGACATGTTTTACTTTCATTCTTTCTGCAGTCTAGGTCTGATCGTTGATCTAGTGCAAGGTATGTTGCTCGTTACTTTTTCATTGCAGCTGATAATTAACTTGGGAAAATGTAATCACAAGATAGCATGCCTTTGAATAGATATTAGGGCCATGAACGGCGAAGCTGTCCATGCAAATCCAAGGAAGACTGGAATGATCATTCTCGGAGGGGGCCTGCCCAAACACCACATTTGCAATGCCAACATGATGCGTAATGGTGCGGATTATGCTGTCTTCATCAATACTGCACCAAAGTTTGATGGGAGTGATTCTGGAGCTCATCCGGATGAGGCTGTATCATGGGGGAAAATACGGGGTTCTGCTAAAACTGAGGTATTACCTAACCTATGTCATATCTTCACTATGCCCATTCCCTTTTAGCTCTCATTTTGTTTGCATTATAATATATACTTTTATCCACCAATTGCTAACCCTTCCAGCGTTTTATCCATCTGTTTAATTTCCCTCCTTTTGATTGGTTGAACCAGGTACATTGCAATGCAACAATTGCTTTCCCTTTGCTGGTTGCTGAAACATTTGCCAAGAAAGCTGTCGAGACCATGACTTAATATATAGTTTCATTGTGAAGATTGATTTATGATATAGAGTTTCAAGTAGTCGTGATGAAGCTGATAACTGCTTGATGGGGCTCAGCAGACATGATAATTACCACATTGTATTCAAGGGTTTGCAAGATCCTATGTAGGATTAAGAATACAGAAATTCACATTTTTCCCCTTGTGTTAGATTTTTGGTCTATCGTAGGGGTTGAGATGACATACTAGGGGAATTTACTTGTTATTTCTGATCATTTTATTCAAATTCAAGTTCGAACTCCTATATGAATGCTAAGTCCATTTACTTAAGAGGTATATATCCCTATTCTCTAGTTAGGCTAAAATTCTTGTCAAATTGTTATGTTCACCAAATTACGCCACTTTTAAGCCATTCCTGATACCTCCATGAAAATTAAAAAAATGTTTGGGCTTTTTTATAAAATTGGGCTGGGCTTGTTTTGGGTGTTTTTTGAGTTTTTTTTGTTTTTTTTTCTGGTGGCCATCAGTGGCAGTCCTGTAATTTATAGGAACTTCAACACCAATTTCTTATATGGTAAATGAATTTTGGGTGTGTTTCTAAAGTGCATTCCATGTGGGGTTTTTTTTATAATTTCAGCTCCTATTTTGGGTATATTAGTGAAGCTCCCTTATTTTTTTTAATTCTAAAATAAATTTAAATTTTTTATAAAAAAATCTCTTATCAAGTGTGTATTGACAGGCTAGTATATATATTATTGGACTTGTTTTCGTTCGGACCACTCCTTTCTTTTCTATTTCCGTACTTTTAAGTCAACTGGACCCAAACTTTGATGAGAATTTTTGTTTTGAGTAAATATCCTCAAGGAATTAACACTCCACCCAAATTGTGTCAATTTATCCTCAATTTGACCAAAAGAGAAAGCTGACTGGGCACTTAACCAAAAAAGTGAACTGCCATTTGGTCTTTTAAACAATGGAGCTTGTTATCTATGATTCTTTAGATTGTTGTTTTCACAGTGCAACTTTTGACTGGTCTTTCATCACCTGACAACCGGACATCGACATGTTTGCGCTTGCTAAGATTACACCGTAGAGTAGATCGATCTATCCTTGAGCAACGTCAGCAATTTAACAAGTTTTTTGACGAAATCCGACGACATAGACCAACTTACAGTACAGTAGCACGGATATCATTGATTAGTTTCCTAATTTGTTTAGTTAGTTTTTTAGGTTCTCTAGTTTTCCACATTTCTAGTTTCCTAATTTATTTGGGTTAGGATTTCTGTTTTAGTAAGAAATTTTTATCCTATCGCCTCTTGGTCTTAATTTGCCATAAATACCCTCATGTAGTTCATTGAAATGGAAATTGAGTTATTAAGTAAAGTTTATTTTTCCATGGATTCGAATTCTGATGTGAAGCCAAACTCCTTGTGATTCCATACCTATCTTTATTAATCTATTTTCTATTTTTTCATTGTTTTCGCTTCCACTAATCCATCTAAATATTCAATTCGCCTAAATCCTACATCAAATATGTCACTAGAGCCGTCTTATTGTTTTTCCCAGGGTTTGAAAATTTCGAGTTCCTTTATTTGCATGCCGTGTATCGATTGTATGACTCCAACTAAGGCTGGTAAGACATACCAACTAGAGATGGACTCTGAACGGATTGTTCAAATGTTTGGAACTCTGACAAAGCAAGTGACAAATATGACCACCATATTCGAAGAACAATCCAGACTCGTTGATCATCGTTTTGCAGACATAGAAGCATCTATTCAACATGACAAAGAAAGTGTGAATGGAGAAGAGCTGAATCATGATAGGATGAATGCCCGAGATGGAAAAAAAAACGTCATGATAGGAGGAATGACCGAGACGGCAAAAAACAAAAATTCCAGCATGACTATGAACAAGACCTTGATTGAAAAGGTGATGAGATCATTGGGAAAATGCTGAAACACTACTAGAGAGAGTTGGTGAAGAACCAATCGTCCATTGGGCTACGATTAATTTAGTTAAAATTGCCAACGAGAAAGGAGCACTAGTGGATACCCATGGTGGTGGGATGACAAGATGTTATAAATGTCAAGGTTTTGGACACTTCGCTGTCCACTGCCCAGTGAAGGAGGCAACAAGAAATCCGTGGAAAGTACATCATGCTGAAGGACAGTACGAATTTGACTGGGGTTTTTTTTTACAATGTGAAATTCTAAACTACTCTAATCTAATGAGACGGAGTTTCGAATCCGGGTAAAACATCTGCAGATACATTGTAATTTTTGGATTTGTAATACAAGCTCAGACAAATTTCTATTCACTCTCCTAAGTCATGGAATTCAAATTTAACTAATTATCTAAAAAGTGTATAAAATACTTCTTAAACTTAAAAAAGAAAATTTCTAGAAAACATCCTCAGAATTCTAACCAAAACAAGTTAGCACTTACAGAAGTTGAGGGGGGCCTGATAGGTAACAGACAAGGCTAGTGCATATACGGAGATTTTAAGCTCACCATCACAATTCAGTCGCTAAGAAAAGAACATGCTTTCACCATAAGAGGCCTTTGAGACATGGAGAGAACTTCTATACTAGATTTACAATCAATTATTAAAAACGTATAGCGGATGAAATATACACGGTACACAGCTTAAGTAAATACGGCAATCCATGCTGTGCGAATAAAAGAATAGAGGAGCCGATTCCAGTGGCTTGAACTCTCACCAAAAGAAAGAATGTTCGGAAGCTCTGTCTCTACCTTTTAACTTACACAAGGATGCCTTTAATACAATCATATTGAAAGTAGTGGTTGTTTCTCCGGGACCAAGCAATGATCAATCTGTCCAATAGCATTCGGGAATTTCATCGACTAGCCAGGCAAAAGCATTTGCTTAATGTGGTTAGTCGTGAAAATGATTTGGTAATTGCCGTGATCTGAAAATTATACTACCCATCCAGATCCAAAAATTCATCATAGATTCTACTGCTACCACTCTCTAATAGAGCTTTTGCATTGACTTCTCTGCCAAATCTCCAGACATAATTCAACCCAACAAGCAGCTCTGTTATTGTTGCTTCTGTCTTTTGTTGATTTGCAAAGTAAAGGGTTTGTACCAAAAGCACATGTGTCCTGGAAACCAAGCTTTGCTGTTCAAAACTCCTCTCGGATTGCCATCTTATCATATTATGAGCAAGAGGTGCCAGCCACTCTAATATTCCTGTCATTGCCTCATTCCACTCTCCAGCAAGAACTGTATCATAAACTGATGAAGTCAAGCTCTTACTGTACGGCTTTAGTCTGGCCCTTAATGTAGCTCTCACACTTGCAGGCAGCATATTGTACAGGTCATCTCTCGCATCAAGACCAATCAAGTGAGGAGATGCAACTAACTTCTCAATTACGATGATAACGTTTGCATAGTGCAGTGCTAAGGCAGCAGCACCAAGAGTTTCAGGTGGGGCATCCAACAGCCTGTGCTTGGAACTGAAGATTGATGAACTAGGATGACTTTTGTTGCCAAAAGCTAGAACGTCTGCATTGGCATCTCTGGCTACATTGAGAATTGCTGAACGAACATCATTTGAACCCAAGTAGCAATTGGTGACAGGTGAATTGTTTGCAGTTATCATGCATCCTTTGAAAGGTCCAACTTGAGTCAACCTATTGGACTTTGTGTGTGATTTCTTCCCATGATTAGTGTGTGAGTGATTCCACAACTTCCTGATGGTTCTATTCGTTGCAGCAATTGCGCCTGACTTCGTTGTTGACCTCCCAAGAGGGCCTGAAAAAAAGTTGACATCTCTATTCTTTCCCGAAATAGGGCCTGATTTTGTAATTGAGTCACCAAGAGGACCTGAATAGCAAATGTTGGTTTTATTTGTTTCCGATATTGGCCCTGATATAGCACTAAACCTCCCAAGGGGGCCTGAAGCAAATCTTGGAAGACCATTCTTAGGTGGACGGACTGAAGATTGCATTAGTGCAGAAACTGAATTGCTACGATTAATGTGATCAGAATTAATAATTCCGGAATCTTTGGTATCACCAGCATCTACCATCTGTTGAATTCCAAAGACATGATTGATCCTACTGAACATTGTGAAGAGAGATCTTGCCAAAAGGAGGACTATGTAATCATAAGTCCTGTTCCACAAAGAGACCTCTTTCAAATTCTTCACCTCCTGCTGCTTCCAAACTACCTTCTTCTGAAACTCAACCAAATTCACACCATCTAAGTCATCACTTCCCTTCATTCTCCTCAAATTTTGTTCAAGCTCGGTAAGCACTTCCATCTCTTCATACAAATTTGCATTTGCTGAAATGAACTTCTCCATCTTCTTAGCTTTCCTTTCCATCTTCTTCCATGAAAATTCCCATCCATAAGGGTCAATACCATTATTGATCCACTCAGTAAAAGCATTCTCAAAACTCTTCAATGTAGGATCAGTACAATTTTTGGCAAGCCTGGCCACAGATTTTGCTACGCGGACCATATTCTCAATCAATTCGGCACATATCAACCCTACAATGAAGTCATCATCATCTGACACAAGCTTTTTTATACCCACTGAATTTGTGATTTCTTCTCTTAGCTTAGTAACCTGTTTATCACTCAGAAATTGCCATAGATGGACCAGCTTAGACATCAAGCTTGCAACTTCAAAGGCCAAAACTCCAACCACTGCTTTCTCAGGCCCCTCATGCTTCCTTTTAGTCTTCCAAAGACTGCGAAACCACGATTCCGCAACCATCTCTTACACCCAGAAAAGGTTTTGATAAATGATCTCTAAGCCAAACCCCACATCATATTTCTTGATCCTGCAAAAAATATATAAACCAATGATCAAACGATTAGGTCAAACAGCTAAAATTCAGGGCATTAACTTGAAGAAACGCTCAGACAGCTTCCTATCAAAAATTCAATTACCATAATGCTCTCCCAGGTTGCTTGTCTACTACATGAAAAGTAGAGGAAGGGGAGAAGGGGGAAGCATAATCCGGATACTAAAATTTTGATACGCTGGAATATGGGTAGAATAAAAAAAACTAAGTTTTTTTGCTTCTGTTCAGTGGTTTCAATTTTTTGAGAAGTAAAAGAATACTAGGATTTTAAGAATTTCATGCATCCAAGATCCACAAATCAAAAGAAAAGAAAGCTACTCCTCTCAGAAGAACCTATTCTAATAGTATTGGTAAGAGAAAAGTCTGCTTAGCTAATGCATGAAATGGCAACCCCGTAGACTTTTTCTCACAACAACTAACCTCAGAATTCACTAAAAAAGAAAAGCAAACCCCCCAAAATCATAAGAAAATAATCTTTGGGCAAACAGTTCATAACAATATGTGACAAAAACCTAAAACCCAAAATCAAAATCCCATTACATAAATCAACAAAATTCCAAGATCCATTTTTCAGAACACAAAAAGTTTATTTTCATTATATTTCTATAAAATTTCTAAACTTTTTCTTTCTTTCTACTTGGATAATTAAGAAATTTATACAATGAAAAAATTTAAGCCAGATTTACTGATTTAGATAACAGCGTCAGTTGTATAACCAAGCAAATTCACAAACACTATAAGCATCAACCCAGATTTAGACAACTCTGTTTTCCAATTTCTTTGTTCAAATGAACTTAAACAGGAACAAGTGTACGATCATATGCACAAAAATTCATAAACAAAATATATAAACATGTCATAAAGCTCACCGATCATATGAAGAAGAAGTAACCGACGAATCTTTCTACCCAAAAATTAGGGGAAAGAGAGAGAGAGTCCAGCTTAGAGAGAGAGAGAGAGAGAGAGAGAGGGGAAGTAGCGGGGAAGCTGCACTGAGAGCTTCCGCAGCCCACATGGAAGAGAAGCAGAAAATAAGGAAAGACCAAAAACGAGTGATATTTAAGATACATATCTTATTAGTTATTACTAATCCTTTTGGTTTTGCATTTTCTACCCTCTGTCCTCTAAACATTTATACCTACCTACCCCCAAGTTTTTGTGTCTTGCTAACTTTGTCCATTCTTTTTCACAAATTTATCTTCTTTGTCCCCTTTAATTCTTTTTTGTGCAAAAAAAAAAAAGAAGAAGAAGAATTTAGCTCGAAGTATTTCATAATTGATTCATTGTTTTTCTTGAATCCATTTCTATGTATAGGCTGCGTTTGCTTGCCTCAAATCCATATTTGGAATGAGAAAGGGTTGATTTCATTTGTGGTTTTAGTTAAATGAGAACTTCAAGGACAACTAAAAGAAATATAATTAATTATGTTAAAAAGGCATACAACAAATTCAATTAGGGCATATTTACTTATGAATCGGAGTAACTATGGATTAGATTAAGCATGAACCAGATTAAACAGGCATTGGAGTCATGCATTTCATCCATCATGAATCGGAGTGAAAAACATTTTGATTACGAAAATGCCATTAAAAAAATATGTTTTTTTTTCTCCAAAGACCACTACAATTTTCATATGAAAAAAAATAGATTTGTTAGGGGTTTTTTTTGGCATGAAAAACTTGATTCCCTTTCACTATTCTCCAATCCCACCTCCCCTCTTCGAAATCAAATCTCTTCAATATCAAGAATTAGAAATCAAATTTGTTATGGGGCGCATATTACTATTCATTCTACCAATGTAAGTAAACAAAGGAGTCATTCAGAATGAGAATGACTAAAGGTGGCAATATTGTACATGACTCATTAACTCAACATGAATTCGTACAAACATTCAGTATTTGGGTCTGAGTTATTATGTTGTGTTGATATCGTGTTGACTCATTAGCCACTCATTAAGCTATCGTATCGTGTCAATTTGCAAATACCCGTTAAGCTCAGGGGTATTTTTGTAAATTTATCTTCTTCTTTTTTCTTTTTCTTTTTTCTCTCTTTCTTCTCTTTTGTCTTTTCCTCCACTATAATTATGAAGCAGAAAATCGTCATCAATCAAGAGCATCAATTTATGAGGAAGAAGAGGAACATACTTGGGAAGTTTCAAACCCAAGCTCTCAAAGAAAGGTCAAACTCATTAATAGGGTGGTATCACAGATACCCCTATTCCATCTCTCTCTCTCTCTCTCTCTCTCACACACACACACACACTCTCATCCTCTTCCAAATCTAGACGCTATGATTGTTTGAATATATATATATTTTTAACTGGTTGATTTTTTTAATTGTTTAATATTTCTGTTTTTATTTTATTTTTATTATTTTTGTTTTGTTTTTAATTCTTAATGAGTTATCGTGTCGTGTCGTGTGATTTGCGAATTGTAACAGGTCGTGTTCGTATTTGACATTTTCTATCGGTTTTCTTATTGTGACGTGTCGTGTCAACCCGTTAAGAAAAGCGGGTTGACACGAACACGACATGAACACTGAAAACACAACACGAATGCTAGGTCTAAGAATGACTGCTATTCTACTCATAACCATTTTGGTTATGTAAGCATGCCATTATTTAATCTAATACACGAAATGCAAAAGTACAGCTTCTACCATTTTAAACATTCAATGTGAATAAAAGTAAACGTAACCTTTCAATCTGTTTTATACTCTCTCTTTTTTCTCAGCAAATTGAGTTGTTTAATTTCTTCATTACGATGGATATAGGTGAAATGTCGACTATATTACAAATGTCATCATGAATTGTAGACTTCCATGCTCCGTTTGTTTGGTTGGGATTCTAATCATGAATGAAAATTCGTTTCTCATTCCATCACGACATGATGTTTGGCCAATTTGGAAAGGAAACAAGACAAAGCAATTGATATACAACAAGAGACGGGTCAAATGATGTATAAGGCTATAAAAACCACACACACACACATATATATATATACATTTTGGTGTTTCGGATTGCTCGAGCACTCAAGTAAATAGTGAATTTTGGTAAAGTGCGACACAAGTTTCATGTTTCATTTTTTAAGGTTGGAATAAGTAGTATTTTCATTGTAATTAAGTTTAGGGTTTAGGGTTTAGTTTTGGGAACTGATTTTCCCACTCATCTTTTGTTCATTTTTACTCTTTTTGTTGTAAATTATATATTCTCACTCATCTTTTGTTCACTTATAAAGACATGGAAGTGGGAAAATCAGAAGGGAGTGTAAATGAAAAAAACAGGGAGCGGAAAAATCAGCACCCTTAGCTTTCTACATTTCCTTTTGCTAATTAAATTTCCGTATTCTGTTGGGGCTCATGTGTATTATACAAATAAACATCTTTCTGTTTTTTTGGTCAAGATACAAATAAACATCATGTTTATACAATTCCCTTTCACTATTCTCCAAACCCAAAGAACCACTCGGCACGGGGCCTATCTGATGTAACCCAAACGACAGTTTGCTACTTTCAAAGATAGAATTAATTTTGTTATACTCGTTCAGTCATGATACAAACAAAAGAGAAAGACTATTGGAATTGACAACCTGAAGGAACCAAAGGAAAGTGTTATGCAATTTCATTACAATCAATTTGTATATCTACTTTCAGCCCGCATTTGTTTGATTGTTCAATAATATACTGATGTCAATTTCTTTCTGCAAGAAACGTATGGTAAAGAAGAGCATGGCACCAGCGACAATTAGTACCAAAATGAATCAATCATGAGCAAAAGAAAAAAGAAAAAAATTCCATCAAAAATATAAATACATTAAACTGTAAGGACTGCAATGCAAAACCCCGATCGAGGGAGAGAGAGACCCGTCGCAATCATTAATGGCGACCACGCGGAAACATGACGTTTTACCGTTCTGTCCCCAGCCTTTATTGTATCTGCAAAGCGGGTCGGGTCATGGCGTACGGAGGGACCGACATGCAAAGCAAATGTGTAAAAAGCCGCCAAATTGATCCGACCGATGATCCGGGAATCAAGAAAGTTGAATTCACATGGAATGCAAGCATGGTGCTAAAAAACAGAGAGAGATTCAAAAGGCTTTCACCACACCAACCCTCACTAATTAAATCCTTGGTAGTTGCCTAGCTGATATTATCTTCTTATCCCAAAAGTCCAAAAACACCTTTTGTTTTTTTAATTTCTTTAATTTGGATTGATTGTCTTTCTTGGTCACTTTTTTTTGGATGGTTAGTGCAAACTCAACTTAATTAGGGAATGTTTTAATGAATTTTAATTAAAATTTGACTGACCAATATGGGCTTATTTGCCTAACTCATGTTTTTTTAATTTAATATTATAGGGCATGCTTAGTTGATGAGTCAATTTTGTTTATCTCTGTCTTTGTGCCAAGGGGACCCAAGAAGAGACTATGGTGGCAATTACTATTTATAATATTATATGGGGGTAGTTTATTATTACAGTACATGCCTCTGATTTGCAGAAACAAAGAAAGTTGAAAGTTGAATGATTAACTCTCATCATGAGAGTAAACTTGCGTTTATCACTTTTTTAGGTAGATTGTCATAATTTAACAAGCGATAATTTAAAGAGATATTTAGTCATATATCCATTCTTAGCACTAAAACTATAAATAAATCTTACATAATTTAATTTCTATAAATAAATAAAAAATGACATATGGCCTTATTGAATTTAATTTTGATTATTAAATTACTTTGATGCCTTATTGAGTGTTTTAGGCTTTTTTATGAGGTTTTGGGGTTATGTTTGTTTTAAGAAATCAATGGCAGTTTTGTAATTCAAAAGAAGTTAAAAGCCTTTTTGTTATACTGTAAATGAGCTTTAGGTGTATTTCCAAAGTCCATTTCATATAGAGTTTTTATTTATTTATAA